ATATACTGCTAGTACGATAACAACCTCCATAAAGAAAAGCATGAGGGAGGTATATAACATATCATGGCCGTGTCCACTGGCCTCTACTGCATCACCATCCACAGCTCGGTGCCCGTTCGTGTTACCTCCCGGTGCTCGGGACTTCACGAACTCGTGCGGCAGGGCCCCCGCGCAGTGGGCTTTTGTAGCGCGGAACGGGAGGCGTGGCCAGCGGGAAGAGCGGCAGCGTCGGAGGAGGAGGCTGGGTTTGCTGGCACGGCGGTGAGCTCGCGTGGCGCGGCGGCGGACCCTCGTGACTTCGTGAACTCGCGCGACAGGGTCCCCCACGGCAGTGGGCATGCGTGGCACGGGGCCGGACAGCGCCCGGTAGGAAGAGCGGCAGCGCCGGAGGAGGAGGAGGAGGCTGGGTTTGCTGGCGTGGCGGCGGGCTTGCGTGGGGACGGCGCGAACTCTTCTCCTTCCTGGGCGCGTCACTGCCGGAGCTTGGATAGGACGGCGAAAGCAAAGCGTACGGACGTCACCTCGTGGGTGCTCGCCGAGGAGCTGGATAATTCCTCCTCCCGCGCACCCACCACCTCTTCGACAAAATCCCTCAAAGGGGGTAAACTTGCCAATTCGAAGATGAGATGATTCTATGCAAAGCAAACTAGACAATCAAACACACCATTTGCTAGCCAGGCTTAAATAGTATAGACAACCAAACAACTAGAGATTTGGCTTGGTCGGAGCAAGCTAAGGTTGTCCAGGCTTAAAAGCTAGCCAGGCTAAAAACATGTCAGAAAACCAAACACACCCATATATAGGGATGAAAACAGTTGGAATATATCTCATGCTGTCCCGCATCATTTTGTATATTTGATCCGCTTGAATTCGTATTTCTGAACAAATTTTAAATCGGTACGAAATATGGTACGCCAACTTTGAAAACGGTTTAAGTGATTTCCGATCGTTTTCTATCTTTCATTTTTTATTCAAAATATCCCGTTTCTGAAATACGCAATATCCTGATTTTTACCCAATAGGAATCACAATTTAGACAGTCCAGCTCAATCGAGGCAGGCAACGCAGTGGCTACGAGTGCGCCTAAATCTTATTATATAGACCATCGGCTCCCTTGCTCCCATCTGTCTGCTGGCTCGCTTGCTGCTGCCGCTGCTCGTTGGGGTGCAGTGGGCCGCTATAGCATTGATGTTGAGATCGTAGAGAATAGCTTAATCAGTTTTCACATGATTATGAGTCAGTATGTGAACGTAATGTTTAGCCACCATGTGAATGGGTGTTCACGTTAGAGCTGTCGGACACGTTTGTGATCTTTGCATTCAACTCATGCATTCATATCTTGAGTGATCTACTTTGAAAGTTTTAGGAATGGGTTAGTTTATTTCTTTAGTTCAGTGTCCTATTTATATTTTTATAAGTATAAGTATAAGTATGGTTCTAAATAGCCCGTAGTAGCACCATTTATTTTTTCCAACCTTTCCTCTTCTCCCCTTTTTAACTGTGCCTACATAATATATGTCGAGTAATGTATATTTGTTATGCACTTGTTCCTACGGGTCAATATTCTGTATTGATTTTTCATATACCGACCGTGTTCGATATAATTTCCACTCGATTTGGTTCGTTTTTGAAATTCTCGAAATTCCGTAAGTTCGCGTTCGTTTTCGTGTCCAGCTTTACCGTTTTCGCTTTCATTTTCGTACCGTTTCCAACCGTTTTCATCCCTACCCATATAGATACCTGTATAAATATCTACATCTGTACCGTTGTTTTTGGAGCAAAAAACAAATCGCTGGAGTGAATGGATTGGAGTGGGCTGGGGGAAGGATTATGGGTTCCCAGGTAACATGTACAAACTTTAGTGGACCATAATGCAAGTCATCCTTTTTTCTCTCCGTTCCACATGTGGTGTTGATTATTATTGGTTCAAATTCTTCCTCAGAATTAAAATTGCAGTGATCCATACTGTAAACTAGAAGAAGGCCTAGCAAGTTGCTGCGGGAATTTCTTAAAAAATAAAATGTTACATGTATGTGTTAGACCTTACATGTTCTTGCATCGATCTTATCAATTTAAAATTAAGCAAGGCCTTGAAAAAATCCAATAAAAAAGAAATAGAATTTAATAACACCCCCACACATTTATTTATGTGGGAATTAGATGATGACACTTAGTGGCTGTTAGACGAAGGTAGGAACCATGCTGAAAAAAGTTGTGGAATTGAAAAATGTCCAGTGTTCAGATACATTTCATCTACACAAAAATATGAAAAAGTCAACTACACCGAATAGTCAGATATGATATTTTCATGACACGGGGAAATAAAAATATATTCTTCTTAATTGTTCCCAATTATTCACCGGATACTATCTAGTGAAGACTATTTTTGTATAACAAATGTTAAAGTAGTTAAGACAATCCGTATGGTGAAAGTCAAAGATAATATTGCTTGATTACTAAATATACATGTACTTGCATCTGCTACTAAGTATGGGCACCTTGATTGCGGCAAATCGTGTCAAACACTGTGACACCTTAGGTACTCGTCGACTCAAATAATCCCAGAAACCCTTGAGCAATGCTGGATGCTTTTTCAGTTTCGATGACGCATGTGAGCTTTCACGGCGATGAAGGAATGCCTCACCAGTGTGGCAGTGTCAATGACTGGGATGTGCAGAAACTTCTTGGTGATGGCGTCAATGCCGGCAAGGCATCACATAGTGTTCAGTTAGCACTTGACTGGTTGCGAAGGAGCACTTGACCTGTGTGAGCAAAGACCGCAAGAGCACAAGTCAATCCGCGACTGAAGGCCATAGTTACAGACTAATCGGGGATGGAAATGAGAATCATAAGAAAACATCATGGAAGCTGAACAACACTCTGGTAGTATCATAAGTTGCCTAAGGAAAAAGTGGCGAGACAAACTGATTTTATACTACAGGAGGAGAGCGATGGATGGTGGTATGGAAACAGAACGCCAGAACCCCCTCTCACGAAGACTGTTGGTCTGCAAAGAATGCCATGGCATTATAGCTCATGGGTTATTAGTTATTACTAAACCAAAACCAAAGGGCACAAGATGCAAAGAGATGGACATATCCATGCACGGATGGTGCTGAGACCCAACGGATAATCTTAGTGGTTTAGTGGGGTCCTTAGTGTGACATGGCTTCACGAAATTGCAGAAAAATATTTTTTTAGGAAAAATAGAGGGTTTCCACCCCTACAGTGCATTATTATTAAAGTAAAAGAAACAGAACAGCAATACAACAAGCAGGGGAGGGAAGAGGAAAAGGATTAAGGAACAAAAAAACTAAGGAAAAACAGCAGCACCAACAACAAAAGGCACCCAGCTAACCCTGATAAATTAAATTGGCAATCCATTGATCAATACTTGGAGAGTAACTTCTTTTTGTTCTATGGGGGGTTTTGCTTTATAAGAGTATACGAGTTATAGATTAAAGGGTACCTGAGGGGACCATGATAGAGAATCTGGAATCATGGCGGGAGGCCAGACGAGAGCCATATCACACGGTTACTATAGTTTAGGTGGGATGGGAATTCAAAAACTCAGCAAAGTAGATGTATTGGTTATCTTTGGAAATCTCCATAGGCCGATAGCTTATAGGATTGTCTTTGCAATTTTCCAACTAGTACTACTATTTATTTAGCTTGTTATTACTATATCTAAAGTGAAACTTTCGAACCTCACGGAAGGGAGTTACTCTCTCCGTCTCAAAAAAACTGTCATTCTCGCTTCTCGAGAAATAACTTTAACTAATTTTATATTGATAGAAATCTGGAATCATTAGGCATAATAAATTTATTTGGAGTTGCATGCTAGTCAAACTTATGACACGGAAAACAAAAACGCGACAATTATTTTAGAGGCGGAGGAGTACACAATGAAAGTTGTGAAAGCAAAGCAAAGCAGAAAAAAAACTCTTCCTGGATATCATGGGTTACCTAGGAAGTACTTTACCTCCCTCATTTCCCGAAAACCGGGGGGATTTCACCAGAATTTCAAAAATATGGGCCAGAAATAGAAAGGAAGAGGTCCCGTGAGCCAAAAAATCCCCCCAAATTACAACCTTAGCTCGCACAGCAGGTTACTAAGTAGGGATGTAGCCACCCCGCCGACGTATTTCTTCCTTGCCTCCCGACTTTCTCCATGGAAATCTCCATAGGCCGATAGCTTATAGGATTGTCTTTGCAATTTTTCTAACTAGTACTACTATTTATTTAGCTTGTTATTACTATATTGCTAAAGTGAAACTTTCAACCTCACGGAAGGAGATTTACTCTCTCCTCTAAAAAAAATGTATAAGTAGTCAATGTCATTCTCGCTTTGTAATGGCATGAATAACTTTAACTAATTTTATATTGAAAAATATTAATATTTATATGCAGAACCAATGCATAATTAATATCATTAGTAGATATCGTTGAATCTATTTTCATAATAAATTTATTGGATAAAAGATATACAAATGTTGCAAATGATATTTTTTGGCAAATCTAGTTTGGCAACTTAATCATTTCCTGCCTACATAATTATTCAAGTTTGGCATACACGGAAAATCAAAAGGAAGCATTTGGAGTGGAGCAATTCCAGTTGCTTTGGAGCAAAGCTTGGGGCTTCTTCTTGGCAGTTCTTGAGTGACCGACGATCGACAATTATTTAGAGGGCACTCTAGCGGAGGGAGTACACAATGTTGAAAAATGTTGAAAGTTGTGAAAGCAAAGCAAAGCAGAAAAAAAAACTCTTCCTGGATTTTGGGCCATCATGGGTTTGACCTATTATAGAGTTGGACCAAAGTGTTATATGGGCCGCTGACCAATTGGGCTCAGCCCAGACTTCCTCCCAACTAAGCAGAGCCTCAACCCCTTTCGGCCGTCACCGTCCTCCATCGCAAGAAACCATGGCGTCCTTGTGCCGCTCCGCCGCCGCCGCCGCCGCCGTCGCCGCGAGGTCAGCGGCGCTCCGGTCGAGATCCCCGATGGCGAGGCCGTTCCTGGCGGCGAAAACTCCTGTCGCACCGCCACGCATCCACAGGTCGCGCACAACGCCCCCCTGAATCCTCTGTCTGTTCTCGCCATTTAGCTGGGTCTTCGCTCCAAGTGACTCTGGAAGCCTGAAAATGTGTGTGTGCTTTTGTTCATCCTACCTGTTTCAGGCCCCTCGTAGCGGCGGCGCTGGCGAGTCTGGAGTCGCTCTTGCCGCTGCACAGCGCGGTGGCCGCCGCGCGGCTGCGGTCCTTTTGCATCGCCGCCGACTCCGCGTGCTGGAGCTGCCTCTCCCAAGGTGAACAACTGAACTTTTAGCATCCTCCTCTCTTCTCTCTCTCTCTCTCTCTCTCTCTTGGATGGGCAAGTCCTCATTGGTTAGTGATATTTCTGTTGATGGTTCTGTGATTCCCAATTCTGAAGTAGTCCTACTTTGTTCGCGTGAGCATTGAAATGTGTTGCATCTGTTGACTGACATGTTCATGAGATGGGGTATTGCATTTCTGAACGGATTTTGTAGATTTAATTTATTCCATGTATCTAGGGATGTAAAAGTCTAGGCATCACATTAGTGTGGTCTCGGAGGGTTGTATACGAAATCACTGGATTTAGTGAATCCGTCTAATTTACTTTGTTAGCCTTGGAGAGCATCATGTTGCTTGTTGGCTAGTAATAAATTAAAGTTTAGAAGAACCTGTGCTCATCTATGTGTGATTGTACACCTAGTTTACTCAAAGAAACAACGGCAACTTGTGTATATCTGGTAGTAGGGAATTGAAGAATGATATATATATATATGGGGATGTGTAGATCAATATCTTACTGTATTAATTCTTTTTCTCTTTGTAAGATGTTTTTTGCCTAAAATTCTGTGCACATTCGAAAAATCTTAAGGCTGCACCATTCAACTGTACTTTAGGTTAGTGTATTCCTGCATTGATATAGACTATTTAGGTTGGACAATTGATGTAGGGACTCCTGTAGAAAAACAATATTGTTTCAATCATGTACCAAGTAGTTGTTATCTTGAATTGTCAAAAAACCAACATCATTCTAATTACTGTTTTGCTATCAACCTGATAGGTTTGACCAAGCGCATCTGACCATGGCTAGGGACAAATTACTAAAGAGAATGGCACATGCGCTACTGCATCATGATTTAATGTTTCAATATCTTTGTGTTATTCTGTAAAGATTAGCTGACAGCGTTTAAATCTGATTCCATCATTCGATGGAGTAACAGAGCGTTTCAGATTCTTAAAATTTTTGGTGATTATGTATTGGTTATCTTTGTTGCAATCTGACCACAATGTCATTGATTTCTTATACGTGGGATGTTCTTAACTGTGGTATTGGTATCAAATCTATTGTCAAATAAATGTGACATAAACTGCATTTTTGTAGAACTAATGCACATGAGAATTTGGTGTTATCCTTAATATTTTCAAAGGAGGGGTATACTAGGTCAGATATTGTCATTTGCTGTTGAGTTTTTTATGAGGTCTAGTAGAATCTAAATTCCTGTATTTCTGCCCACCTTATCAATGTGCTTATTAGGTTCTGCCCGGCTGTATTCTTAAGTTGAGGCATTTAACAAACAATGACTGCCTTTTGTGCTTCATCCCTACAAATGTGCTTATATTTTCAGATATTTGAAACTAAAGTATCCTTTGCCAGTTTCTGGTTATGACCAAGGCCCTCATCTTGCACATTTTCTGATTGAGCTTTCTTCTCTTGTTTGCAAACAATACAATAGATTTTGCTCTACCTCGGTAATGAAGGCTGAAGAAGACGACCAGTTCAAACAGCACCACCAAGTTCCGATTCATCTCCTTTAATTTGATGCATTCTAAAAGAACTTGGCTGTCAGCAGTTCAAAATCATGTTATTGTTTTTCGTGTGATGATGGTTCTACGCAGGGTTCTTGTAGATTGAAATGTTTTGATCTTGGTTCGTATTACAAGCCTTCTAAATATCTTGAGCGTAACACAAAAACTATTGGGCATATGTCTCCTATACATTTACCATTTTAATCAACAATGAAATGCTTTATCAGGCTAGGAACAATCAGTTACATAGCTAGTGTTGATGCTTGGGTAGCAATTATGAATCTGTTGGAGCTGCTGGGGTGCTACTGCCATTCACTTTGTGTACTGTGGCTGTGGTGTAGCTGCTTGTCGCCATTCACTTGCACCGCGCATGGAACAACAAGATCCATTTAGATTTAGACGAGCAGAGCTGCAGAGTAATGTCAACGGTGTTGCTATTCCAGCATATATAACTAAGAGCGATATGTAAAGATCTAGCTGCATTCTGCACTGCAACGTCCTGATTTTCGGGGTTAACACATCAGGAAATTAAAAAAAAGCGGGCAGACAGGAGTGTAATACACTGCACAATCCAATCGCCATACAAAAGTAGCAGACATTATGGGTTTGGGATAGCTCTACCTCCTCAAAAAGTGAATTTGGAAATGAGATTTACCTAGATCCACCGTGGAGCAGCTCCACTAGAGCTGTTGGAGCTAGAGTTGTTTGGTATAGCTCCACCTCCGCCTCTCTCTCTCACTTCCACTGGGTCCCACGTGTCAAGGGGGTAAGATGAAAAACTGCTAGAAAAAAGGCACGGGTCTTCTTCCTCCCGACGCCTGCAGGAGAGGCGGGCGCGACCACGCCAAGTGAGCGCGCAGCCTCACCGGCAGGCGCGCGTAGGCGCGGCCCCACGCCGGGAAGGGCTCGCGAGGAAGAGCGCGGGGCACGCGCGGCCGTGGAGCTCGCGGCGGGTCCGTCCGCGGTGGTGGTGGTGCTCGCCGGCAGCAGTGGGGGTGAGACCGGTCACGTAGGGGCGGGTCAAGGTCGGCCACGGTGGCATCGGTGCTCACCGAGGGTGAGGTTGGTCGCGGTGGGGATGGCGGCTCTAGTCGGCGACGGAGAAACACAAAGAAAAAGAGAGCGAACCGTTATCTTTTACATAACCAGTGGTGGGTAATTTTTTTCCCAACTCCACCAAAGTTGGATCTGACCAATTTGGTGAATCTAGGGGTAGATCCACTAGTGGAGCTAGAAGTGTTTGGATAAAAAAATTGTATCTGGATCTAAATTTAGTGGATCTGGAGCTGGTGGAGCTGTCTCGAAGAGGCCCTATGCCAACGATTGGGAGGGAGAGGGCCTAGGCTACTGAATGATGTCTTCTTCACCACCCTGTTCTTCTTGGTCTTCTAAGGTTTATATCCCCATAGGCTACTGAATGATGCCTTGGAATAACCGCGAAGGATGCTCTTGACATGGGCGAGTTGGTCCGAAGAAAGCTTGCTGCATGTTGGCATGGCCAGAGCGTCCCTCGCCATCTGAGCCACCGTCGGGTAATTCCTGCTGTTCTCCTTCCACCATTTGAGAATGTCAAAACTATCTGTTGGAGGGACAAGGAAATCTTGCAGGTAACGATCAAGTTCCTTCTCAGCCTGCAGACAACTGTCAACATCAGTTGAGCGGCTTCTGCTATCCCGCAAACTGCAATGCTCAGCCCATGCTTCTGCTAATGGATCAGCACTGCTGCCGGTGGCCGTCACTGTGACAAGATCTGAACTTGCACTATTGGTTCCAGCACCATATTCAATGTAATCAGCATACAGTTCCTTCATTTGTTCTGTTATTCAGGAAATGTAGTATGCGGCCTCAGAAGAATCGATAAATGTCCTTTCGAAGATGAATTCAATGTATGTGAGCTTGTATCGGGGATCCAGTATAAGTGGTATAGACCATACCAGGTATGAATCCTTTATGCTTTCATCTAAACTGTCCATTGCTTCTCCAAGAACATCTGCAACATCCTTGCCTTCGTTGCGGTCTATAAAACCATTGGATAGCTTGTAAGCATTTGCATTATCTCCACTTGCCCGTGCTAGTTCCGACTGCAAAACTTCCCTAAGCTTAAACAATTCTACGAGACAGAGATTTGAAGTGGGAGAGCTGAAGGCAGAAATCCTTTGGATGGAACAGTCCATTTGCCCCCAAAGGTTACATAATAGTTCAGTGAATACTGAGCCTGTATTTGGAGAACGACCTTCCTTGCGAAAGACTTGCAACGAACAGTAGCTCGAGTACCAGTCTTCATCATATGCCCATAGGTTATCTAGACCGAGCTGTGAAAGAAGCTTCTGGCTCTTTTGTCTAGTCAAATCTAAATCCTCCAAGTCAGAGGTTATACCTTCTACAATGAGACTCGGATCTAAAGTAAGGAGTCCAGCAATGGAGTGAATCACACTGTCCATGTAAGTGTTACTAGTTAGTTCTGTCCTCGTTGGCAGATTGGCATTGGATTTGTTTTGCTCTATTTGATTCCTCAGCTCAAGGCGATCAACTATGTGACCCTGCTTGGTTTCCCATACCATAAAGAAGAGATTATCTAAAACATCACGCTGTGACAAACCATCCATGACTTTATCAATAGACTCAATTCCATCCGGAGGGAAAGTAACTTGATGAACTCCTAGTAATGGTCCATGAGGGTCAAGGAGATATCCATCCACGTAAGCATCCATGGTTACCTTGTGAAGGTTCTGAAAGCATCTAGGCCCCTAGTGGCTTTCGGTGATTAATGACAACGTAAGATTATTGTGACTAACATGTGTTTTGCAGAAACAATTTGAGTTAGGTCACGATAATGGTGATTGTTTGGGCAATCAATGGTATTCGTGCCCCATGTTGATGGAAATCGTTTCAGTTTTGAAAGGATGGACAACAAGGCTAAGGACGGCTAGTTCTAAGTGTCGTTTGGCGTTGGAGAGACACTTAGAATAGTTTAGGGCTTTGCTTTTCCTTTGGCCGTACTATTAAGTGGGGTATGAACTAGTAGCTTGACCTAGGTGAGTCTAATGTGTTAGATGTGGTGCACACTTATCAAACTTAGCACTAGGTAGCTCAGAGTTAGCCCAAAGACCAATTGAAGTCAACCCCATTCACAAAGTGCCTTGAATTTGGAGTGTTTGGAGGTGTGACAGAGGGATCGGACGCTGGTCCCCGTGGGACCGGACGCGTCCGGTCAGTGTAAGACAGTGCAGAGGAAGACCTGCAATCGACCGGACTCTAACACAGTGACTTCACCGGACGCGACTGTGCCTAGGGTTTGGTCTCCTGTGAGGACCGGACGTTGTGCCCGTGGCACCGGACGCTTGAGGCCAGCGTGTCCGATCCAATGCAGAGAGGTTCTAGAGAAGGAATTTATTGACCGGACGCGTCCGGTCAGTGTGGAGTGGACCCGGGCAGAGTCCGGCCACACTAGTCATTGCCTGTCAGTGTTGGCATCACGTAGCCATTGGCTATTGACCGGACACGTCTGGTCATCACTGAAAAAGCTGAGTTGGACCTCAACGGGTATGTTTGAAAGTGGGCGCTATATACATCTCCTACTCGTCCAACATACCCCTCTTGCTTATTTGTTCAGCTAAGGCAACCATTTGGAGTTCAAGTGAGAGCAAGTGCCTAGTGGGGTGATTGAGATTTGATAATCCAAGATTAAGGACCTCATTAGTTTCTAGGGAGTAGCAAGTGTGCATCCACCTTCCTTATTAGCCTTGTTTGTGTCAAGTGAGAGTTTGTACTTGTTACTCTTGGTGATCGGCATCACCTAAATGGCTTGGTGGTGATTGGGAGCTTGGTGATCATCTGGTGGAGCTTTAGGATGACCCAACGCATCTTGTGAGCGGTTGTGGATGATTCACCGTGCCGGAGTGATGAAGATTCAGCCTGTAGAGAGCACTTGATCCTTGCGCGGATTAAGGGGGAGCGATACCCTTACGTGGGTGCTCCAATGAGGACTAGTGAGGAGTGCCGACTCTCCGATACATCGGCAAAACATCGCCGTGTTCCTTTCCTCTCTTTACTTTGAGCATTTACTTTGAGCAATTCAATACTGGTCTTTACATTCCTAGAATTGACATGCTATAGTAGGATAGGAACCTAGGTTGCTAAACTTTTTATGCGATAGAATAATAGGATACACAATTAGGCACTAGGGGTGAAGTGGGCTAGGTATAGGACTTAATTATTGCAATAATTTTTAGAAAAGCCCAATTCACCCCCTCTTGTTTATCTTGATCATTTCA